CAAAGTAGAGGAGAATAAAGATTGAATGTGCTGTGATAAAATTCTTGTTCTAGCAGCTGTCTCATAGGGTTGGCTGAAGTTCAGTTTGTTATCCATGATCTCAAGTAAGTCCTTCTCAGATCTTAACAAGAATCTACATTTCTTAATTATAACCTTTGTTACATGTTTTTTCATGTGCTTTTCAGCTTCGGTTCAGTATTCATTCAGCATTAACAGCCTAGTTTTTTACTTGCAAGTAAAGTAAAAAGTTTTCTTTCGCTGTGAGAAAATGATTCTGTGAATCTGATGGGACTTTTCCCAGGTTACTGCCCTTATATCTAAGAATTTACTTAAAACTACACCAGTATCATTCCTAATAGTGAGTTTTGCTGTGTTTAATTTTCCTAATATAATCAGAAAGAAACAAATGTGTTAACAGAAATACAGCTCGAGCATCCCCAAGGCACAGTACAATAGATTGGATTCCTAAAGAGAACTCCCAAGAAGCATTTAAAACTGCTCACAATTCAGATTTATTACCTAACTTTTACCAGTGAATTAATGACTAGCAATTGTTTCCTAATGTTTATACCAGAAATCGTGATCAATCCTTATCTGCTATTATTTAAAAATATAGCTTGCTCTTTTTTGCCAAATAAAATAATGGTATCACCTCATTGAGCTAGTTTGGTGTAATGGTTAAGGCATTAGGCTAGAAACTGGGAGGTCATGAGTTCTAGTCCTACCTTGGGCACAAAGCCATCTGGGTGACCTTGAGCCAGTCACTCTTTGTCAGTCCTAGAGGCAAACTACTTCCAAGGTTTTGCCAATAGAACTGAAGGGACCTGTCCAGACAGGTACCAGGAGTCAAAAACTCACTAGAAGGCATTAAAAAATATACAGATAACTCTCTCAAAAACAGCATCTGCATAACCAATTTTATACTGTATGCCCTCCAGAAGCTTCCCCCAATGGAGAGCCAGTTTGGTATAGTAGTTAAAACATTAGGCTAGATACTGGGAGATTGTGAGTTCTAGTCTAGCTGGGTGACCTTGGGCCAGTCTATCAGCCTAGGGAGGAGGCAATGGCAAACCATTTCTGATTAACCTTGCCAAGAAAGCTTCAGGGACTTGTCTAAGGTGGCAGTCGCTAGGAGTCAATGCAGATTTAAAAGCACATGTGAGAACACATAGACACAGTCAACATCTGACTGTGATGCTGCTCAATATGGGGAATAAGATTTTTTTTCAAAGGCTCAGTGGAATGGACTGCTCTTTTGGCAATATTCATGAGGGATCTGAATTCTGAGGAAGAATTATTCATTGTCAGCAGGGTTATTGCATGAAACCACAATTCATCTTTTTCAATTTCACTTTAAAAGCTGCAAAACTGAGAAGTTTAGAACTCTAAGAAGGTAATAAAGATGTAGGAATAATTCAAAGTTTACTGCAGGCAGGGAGGAAGGGAGGAAAGGACCAAGTTCAGATGACATGACAGGAAATTTCTAATATTGTTATATGTACTTGAAAAGCCTCTGGTAATCAGTCTCTTTGATCAAACAACAGAGAATGATAAGGCAAGCAGAGAGCTGACAGTACACATTCCTAGAAACCATCTTAGACATTGAGACAACTAAAAGATTTGCCCTTTGCACTGTTTCTCTTTTTTTTTTTAAACAAAACTTCTCAGAGGGAAAAAACCTTTGAAGCAAATGACCCTTGAGGCAAATGACCCAGAAAATGAGCAGAAATTGAGGACTTGTAAAGTCCTTTGCCATTCTAATAGAGTCTATAAATATGCTCTTTATGTTTTCAGAACTAACAGGAAACAATAGATATCTTTGTTCCTAGATATTAAATAGAACCTGATACCAATGACACTAACAAATGTGTTCGGTCTACTATTATCAGCTTGAGATCCCAAAGGTGCTTTTTCAAGAAGCAACTGGACTTTCTGGTTTTTCTTTGAAGACGTTTCACTTCTTGGATGAGAAGTGAAACGTTTTCAAAGAAAAACCAGAAAGTCCAGTTGCTTCTTGAAAAAGCACCTTTGGGACAACCATGAATCTCCATAGACATCAGCCTTATATTTACTCTGAATTGCAGGCTTTATTACTGAAGGATCTCACCTGAGTTTTGGATTTTCATGCTCTTTACTGATCCCTCTGCTGTAGTTAGTTTGAACATCTAAGTTGATGAACTTGAAAGCTTTTATAATATTTTGGATCATTATGATCTTAAAATACAGATTTTGCCTTTTTCTATATAACAGTGTCAATTACACAAAGCAGTAATCATAACTACAAGTATTGATATATGCAGAAGTATGCAGAAACCCAACTGCCAACAGCTATCAAAATTAGGTTTAGCATATTTAAATTGCAAAATTTCAGATTACTAGACGGGAACATTAAGATAGAGAATTTTGTACGCTATGCACTGGATATCTTTCCTGCTATGCACTGGATGTCTATATTTTTACAGCTCAGATAGGGCATACTTACCCAATAATTTTTTTAAAAAAAAGACATTCCAAAACAGTGGCATCCAAAACAGGCAAGGTGGCAGTTGTGGTGTTGTAATCAAAGTCCTGCCACTTTGCATGTGTCAAGTTGACAATGCACAAAAGGGGCAGAACTGGGCAGTGATGTTGCAACAACCATCTTGCCTATTTGATGACCCCTGCAGACACTGCTATGCCAGAACCAATCAATGTTTCCTTTAAAGATGTGGTAAATGTGGCAATCAGAATAAATCATTCCCTGATTTAATAAGATATTTGAATAATTTATATAAGGAATAAGGCAGGGGTGAAATGCTCCCAGTTCAGACCGGATAGCCCAATCCAGTAGCGATCGAGTAGTTCGGAGAACCGGTAGCAAAAATCCCTGCGCCCCCCCCCCAATGCCCAGCTGAGCCGCGCAATCATCAGAGGCTTTTTTTTTTACTTTTAAAAGCATTTTTTCTACAACCTCTTCCGATAAAAAAATGCTTTTAAAAGTAAAAAAAAAAGCCTCTGATGATCGCGCGGCTCAGCTGGGATCATCAGAGGTTTTTCAAAGCATTTTTTTCTGCAACCTCTTGGCTGAAGAGGTGGTTTTAAAAAATGCTTTGAAAAGTCTCTGACGATTCCAGCTGAGTTGCCTGATCAGCAGAGAGGTATTTTTTAAAAAGCCTCTATGACGATCCCAGCTGAGTTGCCTGATCAGCAGAGGCTTTTCAAAGCATTAGAAAAAATGCTTTGAAAAGTTTAAAAAAAAAAAAAAGTTGGCCACGCCCACCCAGTCACATTACCCCACCACCACCAAGCTACGCCCACAGAACCGGTAGTAACAAATTTTACATTTCACCCCTGGAATAAGGGGCTACTATGCAGATACAGTAATGCCAATGTTTTTATGCAGAAAAAAAACATCCATCAATTCATTCATGTTGTGCTAGGCAACATAACCAACAATAAAAAACAACAGAAATCTCAGAAGAGCTGCCTTTTCAGAGACCTAAACAAAATTCCTCCGTTTCAAGATAAAATGTCAAGTAAGCTACCTTTAGAGCTGAGACACAATGAGACAGTGTGTCTGAGGACATAAGGTACTCATACACAGTTGCAGTCCCACAAGAGATAATGGTCAGGAAGGTAGTTTTTATTTATAATTATATAATTTCCACAGTTTTCTTAAAACAAAAAAATACCTATTCACTTCCAAAAGTGTCACTATCAGACAAATTCAATACATTGACTGCAGTTTTATGTGTTTAGATGTGTCAAATATCAAGTCTGTTGCAGTTTTGAATGCTGCATATTAATGTTATTCCTGAATTTCCCGTTTTCAGACCAAATATAAATGGAAACAATCTAAATGATAAGGCAACAGATATAAACCATCCCGGGGGCGAATTCTGGGACAAACGTGCTTCCATTATCAATAGTCAAGGAAAATTGTCAAACATCCTAAAATATTCTAGATGGTAAACAGGATTTGGTTTTGTTCTCACAGTTGCTGTTTTAAAACAGTGAGCTATAAAAGTTTCTACAGATTTGACAGTAAAAGATTTTTTAAACTTGGTGATCATAAAATGGTATAACAAGCAAAAGATAAGAAAACAAGGATTAGCATTGATTGTATATTCCTTTTTCTCAGTAAAAAGGAATAATGATTTTTTTAAAATGATAAAAAAAAAGCAGCAATGGGAAGAATAATATTTTTAAGTGATAAAGAATGGAGAAAACCCAAAAGTACAGAGTGGAGATAGGAGATAGATTCAGGAAGAATAGAAAGAGCCAATAATTAAGTCCAAAGACTAAGAAACAAGATGAGTTGAAATAAGATTTAACAACTATTAATATAAATGAAGAAGAGTAGAAAATTGTTGAAAGGAACCAGAAGCAAGTAAAATGAAATATAAATATCACTCATTTTAATAAACAAAATAAGCTACCAGAATACATCCAAATCAGTATTCTCAGGGCATTTTATCTATACATTACAATTTCTCCCTATCTAAAGTGAAATGAAATACAATATGAATACTGATTTGGATGTAACTAGGATGTTTTTTATGAAGGAGTAGTTCCAGAGTGCAATTGTGAAAATGTGGTGTTATTGTAAATGAATATTTAAAGCTACACTATTTAACTGCACCTGTGAACACTGAAAAGCTATCTGCAAAAACATTATTTACGGTAATAAAGACAGAGGCTTTATTCTCCACAGAGGCAAGAGAAGAAAAAAGCTAAATGACTAATCGCATTTGAGGAACTGAATTGTCTCCTCTTCAAATTAACAAATTAAACAGCAGATTGCCTTGGTAAAACTGATGCTTTGATATGCAAGTGTTTTAGAGTAATTTTCATATCTTGAGCTTCTTTTGAGAAGAAATACATTTGTTTAAGGAACATCCTATTTGGGAACTGTTTAACTCCTTATTTGTAAACTAAGATGCTGGCAGGTAGATGAAATAACACAAACAAACATGAAAAAAGTGGCATGTTATATGATCCTTCCAATCAAGAGATCTTACCATAAGTGATTATCAACAGCACAAAGTTAACGTTAGAAAATAACCGGACGATGGATTTCAGATAGGAATATTCCTCTGGAGCTGCTGCCTTAATCACAGCCTGGGCTGGACTTGGAGGATATGGAGGCTTTTCCTGAAACACTAAAGAAAAAAAGACAGAACCAGAAATGAGTAACTGCGGATTAAAATAAATTAAAATAAAAGGCAACTGAAAATAAAGTATAGGTACTCAACCATTTTAAGCCAAACTTTTTAACCATCATTTATTGAACATCTGTAGTAGTGCAATTTGCAAATAACACTAAAGAATAATGGGGGGATTTACACATCGTACCAAGTTAAAACAAACAAACCATACTTGGCATAAAATAAATCTGTAGAGATTCTCAGTCATCCAGATCATGGTTGTCCCAAAGGTGCTTTTTCAGGAGGCAATTGGGCTTTCTGGTTTTTTCTTTGAAGACATTTCGCTTCTCATCCAAGAAGCTTCTTCAGTTCTGACAGGATAGTGGGGAATCGAAGGATGTATATTCCTTGCAGACCACTGGTCATTTGCATCCTTGAAGCACTTGGAGGTTTATCTGTGTCCTCAGGGTACTCGCCACTACTCAGGTGACCCTGAGGACACAGATAAACCTCCAAGTGCTTCAACGACCCTCTAAGAGGATGCAAATGACCAGCTGTCTACAAGGAATTTAAAGATCTCAAGATCTGTATAACTCCCAAGTCTGGAACTGATAGTCTAGCAATTCAGCACTGATCTTAGCTGGTGCCTATGCCCAATCTTTAACTATTAATACATTTAACTATTTTCACTTACCAAACACAACTAAGATGAAAAGTGCTGTTGCCACACCCGCTGTGATAAAAAACATGATGCCAATATGGTAAGCCAACTCCTCCTTCTGCTCCAAATCGGGAACCAGAACTGGGGGTAGGAGGAAACCAGCTGCAATGCCAAGCTAAACATAAAAAATACAAATAATATGTCACTTCTTAAATATGCAAGTGCCTTAATAGAATACCTAATATGTTTTCAAATGATATTGTATAATATGTTAACAATAGTTGTAGTTAAATATCATTGTGATATTGCCTCTAATCTTTCTAATAATAACATCAATACATTTCATATAATTTTGAATTTTACTAGTATCACTGTATTTATGGAAACTTATATTTATATCTTTATTTTAAATGCCTAAAAGGTAACGATCTTAAATCTATTAACAATCTTAAGAAATTATTGTGTGAGTGTGTACATATATATATATATATAAAACTTCCTTCAATGTATCACTGCATAGTTCTATGAGACCAAATACTATAACAACTCACAAAATGAGGAAACCTTAGCAGGAATGATAAAGGTACAAAAACCTTACAAAGCAATGTTTATGCATGCCAATTCTAAGTGAACAAGTACTTGGCATTCTTTCCAAAGACTTCCAAGATCAAACATCAATGAATTTATTTTTCTTGGGGAATTTCTGGGGTTGCCAAGAAAGAGGATCACAAACAAGAAGGCAGGCAGGGAACCCATTTTAAGACACTATATAAGGTATATTATCTTTCTTTAACATGGCATCTTGCAGATACATTGGATTAGAATTCACAAGGTTGTGGTCCAAAATACCTGGAGATCACTATCTTGGAGAACTCTGGCCTACACAGAATTATCTGATTTTGGAATGACATCAGTAAAAGAAATCCCTCAGGGACTGCCAGTTCATTTGCTTTTGGAGTGGGTGTTATTGAATAGATGAAAGAAACAAAATAGAGTAGAGTAGAGTAGAGTAGAGTAGAGCTGAACTGAACTGAACTGAACTGAATTGAATTGTTTATTGGCCAAGTATGATTGTATGACACAAGGAATTTGTCTTTGGTGCATATGCTCTCAATGTACATAAAAGACAAGATATATTCATCAATATATGGGCTCGCAATCTGGGTGTCCTCCTGGATGCACGGCTGTCTTTAGAAGAGCACATGACGGCCGTGGCCAGGGGGGCCTTTTATCAGGTTCGCCTGATTCGCCAGTTGCAGCCCTTTCTGGATCGGGACGCCTTGCGCACGGTCACTCACGCCCTTGTCACCTCCCGGTTGGACTATTGTAATGCTCTCTACATGGGGCTCCCCTTGAAGAGCACTTGGAGGCTCCAACTGGTCCAGAATGCGGCCGCGCGGGTGGTTATGGGTGCAACCCGTTGCGCCCACATGACACCCTTCCTGCGCGAGCTGCACTGGCTCCCAGTGGTCTTCCGGGTGCGATTCAAGGTGTTGGTTACCACCTTTAAAGCGCTCCATGGCATAGGACCCGGGTACCTTCGAGACCGACTTCTGCCACCAATAGCCTCCCACCGACCAGTCCGCTCCCACAGAGAGGGTCTCCTCCGGGTGCCATCAGCCAAGTTATGTCGGCTGGCGACACCCAGGGGGAGGGCCTTCTCTGTGGGAGCCCCAGCCCTGTGGAATGAACTGCCCCCCGAAATACGAAAGATTTCCGACCTCTGGGTGTTTCGCTGCGCTCTGAAGACCCTGTTGTTCCGCCAGGCAGGGCTATTAACATAACGTTTTAAATTGGGGTATTTTAAATCTCTGGGATTTTAATTGGAGCCTAATTATTTAATGATTTTAAATTTTAAATTGTTGTCGTGTTTTTTGTGTTTTTAAATAGGCTGTACACCGCCCTGAGTCCTTCAGGAGAAGGGCGGTATAGAAATAAAATTATTTATTTATTTAAATTATTTTATTTATCAAGAATTATAAGGTACAACACTTAATGATAGTCATAGGGTACAAATAAGCAATCAAATCATACTAGGAAACAATCAATATAAATCGTAAGGATACAAGCAACAAAGTTACAGTCATACAGTCATAAGTGGGAGGAGATGGGTGATAGAAACCACAAGAAGATTAATAGTAATGCAGACTTAGTGAATAGTTTGACAGTGTTGAGGGAATTATTTGTTTAGCAGGGTGATGGCGTTTGGGGAAAAAAAGAGATTATGTGTTTTCTTTCTGCTCCCCCGTAAAATTGTTTGGTAAATAAACCCTTTAAAAGGGAAACAGAACAAAATGAAGAGGACATGCCTCATTAGGAAAATTCTTCAAAGGATTAAAAATATATATAATAAGCAACATTTTTTCTACAGGAGGAACAAGAGAGCTATCAATAGCTTTCTGATTGGAACTCCATGTCAAATCCCTCACCCTCTCCCCATTTTAACTGTATTATAATCAACACATGTGCTCATTCACTTTCTCTCTCAAATATGTAAGATGCAATAATAGTTTCAATAGCCGCAGTTTCATTTGCAGCCAATCAAAAAAATTGTCTTTTGGGTCCATTGCTTTTATTACTGACAATCACCTAGTTTGAAGGCAATAGAAAACTGAACCAGCCACAGTATAGAATATCATCCCATCTCAGAATATGGCTCCACAATAACCATAAATTCCCAACATGCTATCATCATCATCTTTGTTAAGATTTAATATAGCCATTCATTTCAGGTTGAGTGAACTCAGAAAGCTTTTAGACCAGGGCTGTCAAACTCCTGTCAAACTCCTGGCCCGTGGGCCGGATGTTTCACGCGCTGGCCACGCCCACACCCAGTTTAGTGAAGGGGAAAGTCCCGATATGTCTTGTGATGCCACCATGATGATGTGAGTTTGATACCCCTGTTTTAGATCAACAAATTCAAACACATGTTTAGAAAATGAAGTTTAAATTTATAATGGGACTTGATTGTAACCTTTAACAAAATGTGGCTTTGCATGTTGCTGTTTTTCTTTCTCCCAAAAATCCTTGAAAAGCTGTTCTAAAATATATTGCAAGAATGGGGATCCCGGGGAAGCATAATGCTTAGAGATTCCTTTGAGGGAGTTGTGCAGTTCAGAAATGTGAAAAATAAACAAGCAAACCATTGAAAACAGAAAGCTTCTGGAAGAGTCATTAGAAATAATAACCACTGTAGTGTTATCTCTTTCATTCTAAAGGTTGAGTCCAGGGGTGGGTTCTACTTATCTTTACTACCAGTTTGCATCACGCCCGCATGCGCAGTTCACCTATGATGATGTCCGGGTCAGTGGGCGGAGCCTCCCACCGGTTTTACTACCGGTTCGAACCGTGGGCAACCCACCACTGGTTGAGTCCTAATGACTTCATGAATATGGAATAAGTAGAGTTTTTGTCAATAGTATGGAATTAGTTGCTGCTCCCTGGCTATTTCTAAGTCCAACTTACAGTCCTGCTATTTCCTAACTTGTCCCACCCAAATATTAATCAGGATTGACTTAACTAGTTTCTGATTCAAGAAAAGGTCTATCAGGTACTGCCAGCTACTGACGCTTTATATCAGGGGTTCCCAACCCCCAGTCCTTGGACCGGCACTGGTCTGCAGCATGCCAGCAACCAGTCCATGCAAACAAATGAAGCCCTATCTGTGGGATGCAGGCAGCACGCAAAACTGCACCCCCGCCGGTCCGTGGAAAAACCTTTCTCCTAGGATCCAGTCCCTGGTGCCCAAAAGGTTGGGGGCCACTGCTCCATATGACCGATCTGCATAAATATAAACAATCTATAAAACAATTCTTAAACTTACATTTTTAATAAAAATTACAATTACATAAATTCTGTAATTGAAAAACAGGAAGAATTGCATGAATTCCTTCAGGGCCGATATAGTTAACAAAAGCAAGAACTGTGTGAAAATAGATAAATAAACATTCAACAATGCTTACAACTACAGTATATATACATATATAGTCAGGGACTAATGCTGACTAAAACTGATCAGCTAAACAGGTTTACTTCTTCATTAGAAACAATCATATACTGAAGCATTTTATTTCAGATCCATTTGTTTTTTTCCCCCCAACTATAGACTTCTGACAAAGGAAACTGGAAATTTAATTTAATTTAATTTAATTAATTCAATTTATATGCGGTCCCTCTCTAAAGACTCAGGGCGGCTTCAACAGATTATCATGGTCTCCAAACATTTGAGACTACTATCCAAGCTTCCTGATAATGAATTACTCTTATCCTGAACAAAGCAAAATCAAAGCTGTTTCCACAGGCTGCACTTTACATATGGAATCAGAATGCCTGTTCGTATTATTTTCGGTGGTAACTTTGTTTGTTATTGTCCCAAGCTCTTTCACAACAGCAGACTAAAACAAAATTGAAGGTCAGCAAGCTAAAACACACAGTACCTTTTAGAAACATACAAGGAAAGAGTAATGAGAAAAGTGTTCACAGGTACCAAGTTACTCCCATCTTCTGGCTTTGGAAGACAAATTCAAATTCTGAAATGAACTTTGTGTCACATTTAATTTTTTGGAAACAAACATGCCTCCAACTAACATACCAACTAATACCAACTAAGCCTACAAATCATTAACTCCCACAATGTTTGTTGGAGGTCTTCATTTGCCAGATACTGTTCTACAATCCTTCTGTATCTCATATCCTGAAGCTCATCACAGTAATGAGAAGTACAGCCTGAAAAGAATCAAATTCACCCTTATCTTTATATGATGATGATGATGATTATTATTATTATTATTATTATTTTGCCAAGTCAGCCAGATGTTTATACTGGATTTGGCATTTTTAATCCCCCTATCAAGCAGATGTGGCTGTTTGATAGTCCTACATTATTATTATTTATTAAATTTATGTCACCTATCTCTCCATTGGGCTATTCTAGGTAGCTCACAACAATAAAAATGAAAATGAAAAGATTTGTAAACGTAACAGTAGCAAAGCAATAAAACAATACAATAAACAATGAAAAAGAAAACAATGAGCATAAAACAATAGGATAAAAGATGGGTGAGAGGAGAAGCAGGGAATGAGGAGGGAGGTGGGGTTTGCTAACAACCTAGTAGCCACCACCAGTGTGGTTCTACCCCATTGGGTCCCCAGCCAACCAGCAGAGCTAGGTCTTCA